AAAAAAGTTCAGTTTCTATGCTTTGTTCAGCATAGAGATTGAACAGGTCTAGAGAAAGGATACAGCCTTGACAGACATCGTTCTGGATTTTAAACCATGCAGTGTTCCCTTGCTCTTTTCTGACTCTCCAGCAATGAGTAGGAGTAGAGTAAGTTTCTAGACAATGAAGAATGAGCTTTTAACCACTATCCAAATGAATAAAAAGAAAATATATTTTAAGTTTCTTTCTAAAATGGTGAAACAGATTTGTAAATCTGGCTGGGATGTTAAAAGCATGTAAATTCTCAAAGCCTCAAATTATTAAAGACATTGGAGCAAATTAATTTTGTGACCAAAGTGTACATTTTATGAAACAATTATTTTAGAAACATACTTTGTAGTAAGTAAAGAGTAGCATTCTAAACCATTGCAATAAACACAAGTAAAATAGTCTTATGACCACAACCTCAGTTAGAAAAAATCCTCTGAATTCTTAATACTTGTGTTCTCTATTTACTCCCACCAAACACCTGAGCCCATTACAGCTATTCATCCTCCCATTGGACGATTCCCGACTTAGCATTCTAACTACATACAGGAGGATTCATTGAATATTACTTGTTTCATTTGAGAAGTTCTATAAGCTCTGGAATCTTAAAAGAAGGCATTTGGTTAGGTTGAAACACCTATCATTATATTCTCTATATAAAATGCTTTGTCTTACCTTTTTTGAAAAATAGGACAAAAATTGCTGGTAAGCTTCCTTTTTGAAGTAGGTAAAACTAGACCCAGCCGTGATATCAATAGGATTTGGAATGGGTCCTCCAGTAGGACTTAATCCAAGTGCAGATTTATATTCTTTAAAAGTTTCCGTAGGTACAAATTTTAGAGAGATTTCTGCTTTGAAAGTTGATGTCTTCTCTTGGATGATACTTTGGAATGCTTGAGTCTGTTCTTCAAAATGCTCAGTTCTGAAATGTTTATCAGCTTTCACCTAAAGGGAATTAGAAAGTATTGTTAAAAACAGCACACATGAGGACACGACAAATAAATAAATACATAAAAAGAAATAGAAACAAACAATATTTAGGCTACTTTTCCAAAGAGAACTGGCAAAAAGGAGCTAGGGCTGAGAACTTTGGATTCAGACCCCTGAGTTTGAAATCCTGGCTGAGAACTTCGGAGTCAGATGCCTGAGTTTGAAATCCTGGCTCCCCAGGTACGGATTCCATGGCTTGGACAAGATTATGCAATAATCGTTTTGCGCCTGTGATTCTTGGTCAGTAAAATAACCCACAACTTGTTCTAACAGGTGCAGAATGCATCCTCATTTTCGTAATAAAGAAATAACAAAAGTAACAACTATTGAAGATTTATTAGATGATTTCTGATGGTTTTACACGTACTAACTTCTCCAGGTAAAAGAACGAGCCAGAATTTGTCCCTAGGCTGTCTAGCTTTAACAATGGTTTGCTTCCCCTTTGTACTGTATTGTCTGTCAAAAAAAAGAGGTGCTATGGGTGCACGGAAGATTGCTGGGAGAAAGGATAAAAGGCTGTAAAGAGAATGTCTTCCTTTGAGAAGAAAACAGTGAGAAATGAGGATGCAAAGGAAGCCGACTTTCCCTTGCAACAACTTTTTCTGCTATTGGACTGTTCATTTTTACTATATTCAATTTGCATGATACAAATGTAAGTACTCTGCTGCAATCCCAAAGGCATACAGTGGTTCAAATCTGTCAGCCTCGCAGTGGAAGAAAGACAGGCAGTCTCCTCTTCCTGTGCTATTAACTACCTCTGAAAACATTCCAGAGAATCGACTGTAGGTCATTCTGACTTGATGGTACAACAACAATGCTGTTCTTAGGAAATCTGCTGACCTAATGCATAAGGAGTTGTTGTGCCAACTCACAGGCAAGAGCACTGTCTACTCTGAGGAAGAAAGTTGGGCAATCTCCTATTCTGCTGTTTAAAACCCCTGAGGGTCCATTCTCTGGAGTATCAGCTCTGAGTTATTACAACTCAACAGCAATGAGTGAGAGAGTAAGTGTTGTGGCTAATACGATTTGCCCATAACCCTCAGCATAATGTAATTCTCTTAGATGTTGTGAGTTCTAAACTCTATGCTATGATGCTGATGAATTAGAATCGGAGGTAGTTCTGTAAAGATAGAGTCAGTCTGATTTTACAAAGAGGAGATCTCCTCAGGAGTGTGTGGCATGCATTGAGTATTTGGACTTCTGTGCAAAGCTAGAAAGCTTGCTGCTTTTTCAAGTTTTCAGATTTCATTATTACTATTATATACCATGCAGTCAAAAGCAACCCACAGCAGACCCTCCGGTGAGTTTTTAGAGGCAGTAAATGGCAAGGAGGGAGATTCCCCACCTTTCTCCCTCGGAACAGCTAGTGGATCCAGATCAAGTGCCTTCAGCTTGGCAGTACAGTTCCTTGTGCCTAGGCCACTAGATTTCATGTTGTTGTTGATTGCCTTGAGTCGAGCACAATTCATAGTGACCCTATGAACAAAAGGCCTGGAATCCCTCTACAACTATGGACATTTACCAAAGTTCATAGAGTTTCTGGAGGCACATTATTTAGGAAGTGGATGTCACTCCTGCTTCCAAACCTGTCATAGTACGTTATTGTTGTTATATGCCATTGAGTCGCCTGTGATGTATAACCACCTTATGTACAGCAGCTCGAACCCTGCCCTGTCCTGAGCTAGTCTCACTAATTCTGACACACCAGTCCTCATTGCCCCAATCACTGTATCAATCAATCAATCTCATCCGGGGTCTCCCTCTCCTGTGCTGTCCCTCCATCCTTACGAGCATAATGTCCTTCTCTAAGGACAGATGTCTCTTGACCATCTGCCCAAAGTAAGTGAGGCAGAGCTTCAAAATCCTACCGTCCAAGGAGAGACTTGGTTTCACCCTCTCCAAGACAGACTTACTTGTTTTCTTGGCAGTTAATGGTATGTTCAAGACTCTTCTCCAGCACCACAAATAACAAAAGCATCAATTCTTCTTCTGTCATCCTTAGTCATTGTCCAAGTCTCTAAAGCATAACAAGTAATTGAAAAGACCATGGCCTGGATTAGGCACACCCTTGTATCTAGACAAACATCATTGCTCTTCAGCACCCTGGAAAGGTTCATGACAGTAGATTTTCCAGGCCGTGGTCTTCTCAATTACTTGTTATGCTTCGGAGAGTTGGACAATGACTAAGGATGGCACAAGAAGAAGAACAGATGCCTTTGAGTTATGGTGCTGGATAAGAGTCTTGCACATACCTTGGGCTGCCAAGAAAACAAAAAAGTCTGTCTTGGAGAGGGTGAAACCAAGTTTCTCCCTGGAGGCTAGGATTTTCAAGCTCTGCCTCACTTACTTTGGGCATATGGCCAGGAGAGATTGGTCCTTGGAGAAAGACATCATGCTCAGAGGGGTGGACAGATGCACAGGTGAGAAAGACTCCAGATAAGATAGATTGATACAGTGACTGGGGCAATGGGGATTGGTGTGTCAATTAATGAGACTGGCTCAGGACAGGGAAGAGTCCAGAACTGCTGCAGATAGGGTGGCTATTCATTGCAGGCGACTCAATGGCACATAACAACAATAACATACTATGACAGGTTTGGAAGCAGGAGTGGCATCCACTCCTAAACCACATGCCTCCAGAAACTCTATGAACTTTGACAAATGCCGATAGCTGTATAGGGGATTCAGGCCTTCTGTTCATAGAGTTGCTATGAGTTGTGCTCAGCTCAAACACAATCAACAACAATAAATTATTACATTATATTTTGAGTGTCTTGAGTTTTCCCTTATGTTGTTGTTGTCATTAATGTTAATTGCCATCAAGTCCTAGGAGACTCATAGTGACCCTATGAATGAAAGACCTGAACATTTGTATAACATTCATCATTTCTCCAAGTTCATAGATAGGGTTCCTAGAGGCAAGCTATTTTGGATGTGGACTCCACTCCTGCTTCCAAGCTTTTTTTAATCAGGAAGCCCCACCAAACACTGTCCACCGCGGGTAACCATTATCATATTTGATACATCAGTGTTACAGTGTTTAGCATCAAAGCAACCACAAGTTACCTCTGTACAGCAAATGGACAGATCAGTGCTATATAGCTTAGATGAATGTTTGACAAAAAACAATTAAAACCAGACCCAAGGGCTGCAGGCCTGAGGGTCCAAATTTCTTTTCCAGTTGGAGGCAGAATACAATCAACTTACACCATTATGTAGCAACAAAATTATTATTTTTTTTTTAAATTTTACTATTTTTTTGTATGTGTACCATCAAATCGGATCTGACTGGTACAGGAGGAAATTGCCCCTCCTCCTCCAGCAGAGCATCTGGTGGATTTGAACCACACAGCTCTGGGACTGCAGTGCAGCTTCTTGCCACTAGGCCACCAGAGCTCCGCAACAAAATTATTGATGCAGCTCTTCAGCCAAACCCTTCACAGGTGTATTATCTTCTGAATACACTTACATCAAAGCCCAAATAAGCCACATTCCAGGGTTTGCGGTAGTATGTCAAGGTGTTTCCATCCCGAACTCGGTCACAGAAGCCATTGAAGAACTCATTGTCAAAAGGTGTGCTTAGGGGATCCATTCCTAAGATGTTGATCCTGAAAGCAAACAAAATAACATTGGGTCTAGAAAACCTATCTCTTAGTAAAGCAAGATGATCCTCTGTAGCTGGAGAAAGAGAGACAGTTTTACTTGTGGACACCTGATGCAATGCAATCAAGAACAGAGCTACAACCTTTTCACAATAGCTCAGTGTCTCAGGCAGAAAATAGACCTAAGCAAGTCTACATTTTAAATTCACAGGCCAACAGTATACTGTTTAGAGTCAAATGAAAGAAATATAAACAGGGCACAAGGAACTATTTGATTCCTCAAGTCTTAACTGAACCATCATCTAATTCACATAATGAATAAGATGCAGTACTTTAATACCAACCATTTCAATGGTTTGAGAACAGAACACCTTGAGGGACAGCATAACATATACTTACACTTTTTCATCTAGAGAGGCTCTATTTTCCCCTTGTTCTCTTTAAATTTAAGTCTTGCTCCAGCTGTCTCATGTGTGTCAAAAACCTCTTTACCTCCAGACTCAATCCTATTGTGTTTTCCAAAAGGAACACAAAAATTTCAGGAAGGCACTCTGAAAATTCTCCTTTTTCCCCCCATAAAATAATTTTCAAAGCTTTCAGAATTTAATTCAGAACCAGAAATTTTGTTTAGCCTCAAAATGGTAAAGCACTGGTTTGTAGGTTGAAAATAATATGGGGCCACTCAGTCTATGGATGCATAAAAAAATGGAATATTATTTAGTTATAAGATGAAATAAAGCCCGGATACATGCTACAATATGGATGAATCTTGAAAATGTTATGAAGACAGCTAATCAACATTAGTGAATTGATTTAATATTCATCATAATGCCTAGAATTCATTTTCTGATAAATTTATTAGTACATTTTTCAGTGCTGTTGAAGACATGGAGACCCTCCATACTGGTTTCCTATGGTAAATGGCTGTCAAGGTTTTCTCCTCTCTTAGTGAATACACAAATAAGAGAACCACATGTTGCTTGGAAGATGAATGTTGCACCTTCTTCACAGACACTGAGATGCTTGAGTCCACCATTATATTCATTATGTATTGTTGGTGTCATGTTGATAGGTGGTTCATTTTCCAGCATAATTTGTTATAGTATTCTATAGTGACCTATAGAATTTTCCTTGATTAATTTTTGGAAGTAGATTTATAGCTCTTTCTTCCTAGTCTGTCCTAATATGGAAGCTCTGCTGAAATCTCTCTACCACATGTGACCCTCCTAGTATTTGAAATACAACTGGCATGACTTCCAACATTATAGCAACATCTAAGTGTAATAGACTGACTTATGGGTGGTGTATTAGGTTCTTACAGTTATTCAGTGTCCTTGATCATCCCACAAGATGTCTGATCTTTAATGATTAGTGTTCAATACACTAAATCTCATCCGATATCTTCCTCTCATCCACTGTCCCTCCACCCTTCCAAGCATGATGTTTCTCTTCAAGGATTGGTCCCTCCTGGCCACATGCCCAAAGTATATGAGTTGAAGCTTAACATCCTAGCCTCCAAGGATAAACTTGGTTTCACCCTCTCCAAGACAGACATATTTTTTTTCTTGGTGGTCCATGGTATGTATATTCAAGACTTTTCTCCAGCAACACAACTCAAAATTCTTCTTTAGTCATTACCCAGCTTTCTGATGCATAGCAAGTAATTGCAAAGATCATGGCCTGCATCAGGCACACCTTAGTATCTAGACTGACATCATTGCTTCTCAATACTCCAAAGAAGTCCCTGAGAGCAGATTTTCCCAGTGCAATTTGTCTTTTTGTTTCCTGACTGCTAGTGCCAAGAGAATTGGTTGTGGAGCCGAGTAAGCTGTAAATGTTAACAACCTAAATCTCTTCCCCATCAACGATGCTGTATCTGGATGAGATAGATTCATATAGTAACTAAGGTAACGGGGGCAGGTGTGTCTGAATCAGTGAGACAGGCTCAGAACAGAGTAAGTTTCAGAGCTGTTGCATATACGAGTCACAGACAACTCAAGAGCACATAACAAACAATACAAAATCTATGTTCGAGATTGTTTTTAATTCATGTGGAAAAACGAAAGAAAATCGTATTTAACTATCTTTGAGTTGTTTGCATTTTATCACTTCAAATTTCACTTTATTTGGGGTATGATACCAGGAGGGGGTGATCCTTGGAAAAAGATATCATACTGGGAAAAATAGAGGGGTTAGAGAAAGAGAGGAAGACTCTCTATAAAATATATCAACACTTGACCATTGACTCTCTAACCCAACATCTCCAGCAAATTGAAAAAGAACAGTGAGAAAACCTGACACCCTCTAAAAAAACTGAATTTATAAAAATTAGAGCAGAAATGAATGAAATAGAAAACCTAACAACAATTGAAACTATTAACAAAACTAGGAGTTGGTTCTTTGAAAAAGTCAATAAAATGAACAAGCCACTAGCAAATTTCACAAAAGAAAAGAATGAGAAGACACAAATAATCCGAATAAGAGATAAATCAGACAACATCACAATAAAACCAACCAAAATAAAAAAGCTAACATTAGATTATTATGAAAAACTATACTCAAACAAATATGAAAACCCAGAGGAAATGGACAAATACTTAGAAATGCACAACCTACCTAAACTGTCACAAACTGAAATTGAACATCTGAACATTACAAAAGAAGAAATTGAAAAGGTAATACAATAACTCCCAACCAAAAAAAGCCCTGAACCAGATGGTTTTACAAGTGAATTTTATCACACATTCAGAGAAGAACTGTCACCAATTCTACATAAATTATTTCATGAAATAGAAAAAGATGGAATTATCGCAGACTCATTCTATGAAGCAAACATATCTTTGATACCAAAGTTAGGAAAGGACACCACCAAAATAGAAAACTATAGGCCAATATCTCTCGTGAACATAGATGCAAAAATCCTGAATAAAATACTGGCAAATAGAATCCAACGCTACATCAAAGAAATAATTCACCATTACCAAGTGGGATTCATAACAGGTATACAAGAATGGTTCAACATAAGGAAAACAATTAATGTAATTAATCACATTAACAAAGCAAAGCACAAAAACCACAACATCCTATCAATTGATGCAGAAAAGGCCTTTGACAAAATCTAACATCCTTTCCTGATTAAAACACTCAAGAAAATAGGATTAGAGGGGAATTTCTTCAACATAGTAAAAAGTATTTATGCAAACCCTAGAGCCAACATTGTCTCAATGGAGAGAGGTTAAAGGCATTCCCTTTAAGAACATGAACTAGGCAAGGATGCCCATTATCACCTCTCTTATTCAATATTGTATTGGAAGTCTTAACAAGAGCAATAAGACAAGAGAAGGGAATAAAAGGTATCCAAATTGGCAAAGAGGAGGTAAAATTATCTCTTTATGCAGATGATATGATAGTATACTTAGAAAACCCTAAAGACTCAGCAAGGAAACTATTGGACACAGTAGACCAATTCAGCAAAGTAGCAGGATACAAGACCAGCATACAAAAATCAGTTGGATTTCTCTACAGTGAAAAAGAGATTACAGACCCGGAACTAAGAAAAACAATACCATTCACAATAGCTAATCACAAGATTACATACTTGGGAGTAAATTTAACCAGAAGCACAAAGGATTTCTTCGAAGAAAATTACAAAACATTACTACAAGAAACAAAAAGAGATCT